ATCATATAGCGCAGGGTCTATATCATCTACGTTCGTTGAGCCTGAATCAATGTCAAATCACAGATCAGGGCATGACCAAATTAGCAAAGTCATTACATGAGCTAGAGAATCTCAACATTGGACAATGCAGTCGGGTCACCGATAAGGGACTGCAAACGTTAGCCGAAGAATTGAACAACTTGAAGACGATCGATTTGTATGGTTGCACGCAGCTCTCTTCGAAAGGCATCGATGTTATTATGAAACTACCAAACCTGGTGAAACTGAATCTCGGGTTATGGCTTGTAAGATGATGCGTTCAACAACAACAACAACAGTTACATTTGCTGCATGCTGGACAGGGATGCTATGGTAAGATCGGTAGTAGTAGTAGTAAAGCTTGCAGCAAAAAAAAAAATATTTATTTTTTCTGGTCAGTTTAACAAAAATGATATACTAAATTAATACTAAATTATATAGCAAGGTTTGTAGGGTATGTATTGCAGAATGTTTAGCAGAGACTTCATACAGAACATCACAGTGTGTTGTTGTTGCTTAATTTGTAAGTCAAATTTTATATTTGAAAAAATAAAAAAATTATGACGGACCTTTACGCACCAACACAATACGTTTCCGCCGTGTTTGTCTGCCTGTGTTACCTGCGTACGATATTTGTTGAATTTAACTTCGGACTCTTAGACCCTGAACCATATAATTCAAATATTGTACTATGAACCAATAATTACACACATTTATACAAGCGCTCACACGCATACATGGCATCATATTTGCGTAACCTACAATGTGTGTGCTTGCGAGCAGCAGACAAAACAGCGGACAAACTGACAAAAGCACATTTGGCTAACATACATATATACTTATATATGATTTTTATGTGCTCATATGTGCATGCACTGCTATGCTATAATACCAATCCGCGCGTACACACACACTTACACAGTTAGACACTGTTATAAACTTCTGCAGTACATACAAACGTACAAACCAAGCAGGCAGGCTGAATTTTTACGAAACTGACGGAAAAATAAAAAACAAAATAAAAAAAAAATCAAGAAAAAATTATAATAAAGGAAAAAGACCTCATAGCTTTCGTTTGCCATAAACACGCTGTACTAAATTTAAAACATACAAAGAATGGAGAATTAAAAAAAAAATACAAAAACAACAACAACCAACTCAACTGCATAGTTACAAACACACAAACAAGCACAAGCTAACTTCACATTTAGAGACAGACAAACACACAAACTTACAAACAGACTAACAAGCAAACAAATGGACAGACAGAAAGACAGAAATGTACGTTTGAACATTGGAACCCATGGCGACTTTATTGTTACTGTTTTTAAACATTGTTGTTGGTATTGTTGTTGTAATCGTGCATGCTGTTTTTGTTGTACTCTGCGCTGCTGCTGTCGCTATTGTTGTTATTATCGTTGTTTTTTTATATGAGAAAAGATATACGTCTCGTAGTTACATTTTACTGCTGATAAAATTCATTACATATTTGCTTATAATTGGCAACCCTAAAAAACTTGCACAGTCAAACAAATGCAAATATTTTTGAATAAATTTTTAAAAATTTACGCTACGTATATATAACTTCACATAAGCATTATAATATGTACATGTATCTGTTTATTGATATGTAGTTTTACTAGCTTTGACTCGGTAATCAGTTAATTTATGGCAACAACAACAATGAGACAACAATAACAACAATACCATTTATAACAACAACAGTTAGATATATTAATAATACAATAACAATTGCCATAGCACAAAAGATAACATTCATAGTTGACTAGATTTGCATAGATTTCCGTAGTATGTCAAGTGCGAAGATTTTGAAATTCTGAAATTAAGAATTAAGAAAATAAAAAAAGAGATAAATAGTAATAATAATAGTAATAGTAATAGTAATATTAACAATAGTCAGGGAGGTCTATTAGTAGGGAGAGAGAAATGTGTGGGTCAACAGAAATATATTTTATAATATTATATTAATAAAGATTCATATGTACATGAATAATATTTTTCACTTCCGTCCATCAAAAAATTGTTATAAACTTTACTTTTTTATAATAGAGCGTTATTATAAAGTTCGACTAAATAATAGAAACTAGTAACCAATACAAAAATTATCATGGCTAATTTTATATGCAGAAGTGCAACAATCCTAGCAAAAAAAGATTTAGCACGAGTAAGTGGTATAGAATAGGAAAAATTAGGGGTTATCTTCCTCAATTTTATATGCAGAAGTGCAACGATCTTAGCAAAAAGGATTTAGCACGAGTAAGTAATAAAGAATAGGGAAGAAAGCATTCATCTTATTTAATTGTATATGCCGAAAGGTGACAATCCTTGTAAAAAAGATTTAGCACGAGTAAGCAATGTACAATAGATAAAAACAAGATTCATCTTTCCTAATTTTATATGCCCAAAAGTGATAATCCTAACAAAAAATATTTAGCACAAGTAAGTGGTATAGAATAGGAAAAAATAGGGGTAATCTTCCTCAATTTTATATGCAGAAGTGCAACGATCCTAGCGAAAAAGATTTAGCACGAGTAAGTTATGTAGAAAAGGGAAAAATAGGGTATTACTTTCCCAATTTTATATGCAGAAGTGCAATGATCCTAGCAAAGAAGATTTAGCACGAGTAAGTTATGTAGAAAAGGGAAAAATAGGGGCTTACTTTCCAAATTCTATATGCAGAAGTGCAATGATCCTAGCAATAAAGGTTTAACTCGAGTAGGTAATATAAAAAATGGAAAAATAGGGGTTTTCTTACCTAATTTTATATGCTGAAAAGTAACAAACCTTGCAAAAAAGATTTATCACGAGTAAGCAATACAGAATAGACGAAAACAAGGTTTATCTTTCCAAATTTTATACGCCGAAAAGTAATAATCCCAGTAAAAAAGATTTAGCACAAGTAAGTGGTATAGAATAGGAAAAAATAGGGGTCATATTCCACAATTTTATATGCAGAAGCGCAACGATCTTAGCAAAATGGATTTAGCACGAGTAAGTAATAAAGAATAGGAAAGAAATTATTTATCTTATTTAATTGTATATGCCGAAAGGTAACAATCCTTGCAAAAAAGATTTATCACGAGTAAGCAATACAGAATAGACGAAAACAAGGTTTATCTTTCCGAATTTCCGACAAGTAAGTGATATAGAATAGGGGAAAAATAAGGGGCATCTTCCACCTATTTTATATGCAGAAGTGCAATGATCCTAGCAAAAAAGGTTTAGCTCGTGTAAGTAATATAGAAAAGGGAAAAAATAGGGGCTTTCTTACCTAATTTTATATGCTGAAAAGTAACAAACCTTGCAAAAAAGATTTATCACGAGTAAGCAATACAGAATAGACGAAAACAAAGTTTATCTTTCCGAATTTTATATGCCGAAAAGAAATAATCCCAGTAAAAAAGATTTAGCACAAGTAAGTGATATAGAATAGGGGAAAAATAGGGGTCATCTTCCACAATTTTATAAGCAGAAGTGCAATGATCCTAGCGAAAAAGATTTAGCACGAGTAAGTTATGTAGAAAAGGGAAAAATAGGGTATTACTTTCCCAATTTTATATGCAGAAGTGCAATGATCCTAGCAAAGAAGATTTAGCACGAGTAAGTTATGTAGAAAAGGGAAAAATAGAGGCTTACTTTCCAAATTCTATATGCAGAAGTGCAATGATCCTAGCAATAAAGGTTTAACTCGAGTAGGTAATATAAAAAATGGAAAAATAGGGGTTTTCTTTCCTAATTTTATATGCTGAAAAGTAACAATCATGGCAAAATAGATTTTAGTTCGAGTAAACAGTATAGAATAGGAAACAAGATTTATCTTGCACAATTTTCTATGTAGAAGTGCAATAATCCTAAATCCACAAGTACGTCCTCTATTATTAGATCAGGATATATTAATATATGTAAAATCTTCTAAC